GCTGAACTTGCACAATTCGAAGTCTAATTTTTGCCCCACGTGTAAGACGGTGCTCACGTGCAGGACTCTTATCACTGTCGGTGTACATGAGCGGATCGGGAAATTTGGTCGTTTAGCATGACCCCACCTTCGCCTATCGAACTGTTCTCCTCAATCTAAGAGTCCAATCACCTATGCACCCTCCTACTTCCCCTTTCGCTTTCCCGAAGGAGAAAGACGACGATACAGTTGATATCCTCCCTATAGTCTGGGCAGTGTCTACAGGCATGGAATGAACCGGCCTGCAAGCTTTTACCACTAGTTGTTTTCTTCTTAAATCGATCAATATTGGTAGAAAAGGGAGCCAGAATAGTTCCGTTCTGCCGCGCCGCGACTGATTACCACGATATGATCCATGTGCAAAAATGATGATTTTCACTGGGGTACATAATAGGTGAGCCCGGAGCCGATCCGGGTTCAATTTATAGGCCATATCGCCTTCGGTGAGCCACAGCGACTTTGAATGGAAGTAGAATGCGTGCCACATCCAAAAAAAAACGACTGACTCAACTCCTTCAAGGCATAAGGCATGATAATTTGGTACTCGGTCCAAAATGGCAGGAAGGATGCTATACAGTGGGGAAAATGGCTAAAAAGCGAAGCGAAAGGGTCAAAAACCTGCAATGGCTACACGACTTGGATGCAATTTCGGACGAGTTTCCTGTTGGCATCTGCCAATAACCGCTACCGTAGACACGGCTCCATCTCCGCAGCCGCTTCATATCAATCCCTTCGCTTCATATTGTGCTGCGCAAATGAAGCGATCTGAGCACCAGCATCGGTCGGACATTTGTGGGCGAGCGAGCGTGGTGGGGTATAGACTGGTGTGCTGCAGCTTGATAAGGCGCTTTAAGGGTACCCTTCTTGGAACAGGCGCCACGCAGCGCCTGCTCAGGGGGGGGGAGACGGGCAAGAGAATCGTAATTGCCGCTCCGGCGATGGGCGCGGCGTTTTCTTAACTCGTGTTAACCTGTCGATTGGAGCACCGGACTTCATGTAGACCCCGTCATCGTAGACATTCATGACTATTTTCGGTTCTGAATTGCCTGTTGTCGCCATCTACTACCTGGAACCATCGTCATGCGGGCGCGACGTCGCACGCGACGCTCATCAGCGCGGACAATGACGATTCTCTTGTCACATACCCGCACAGGGGTGAAGAAATCTGTTCTGCTGGGCGTATTAGTCCTACACCTCTTGGGGATTCATCGTGCCACTTGCCCTTAAGCTTTATAAAGGCCTTGAGGTGTTCTGCATGAAAACGTCCACCTTAATTTGATAGCGCTCAATAAGGTAGCGTTCAGACCTCGCGACGGCAGCGCTTCGGTCGCACTTTCGGCGCGATCGATGTGCATGCTTTCTACTGTATTCGAACGTGCGATCGAAGCGCTGTTGTCGCGAAGTCTGAACGCTACCTAAGTAGTGACTTGAGAGACCTACCCAATCCACTCGTTGAGCCGGTAATAAGCGCGATTTTTCCCATCATATCGAGTGATCTACTGGAGATCATTGCTGAACGAACGAATTGAACTCATCATTTTTTTTTTTTTTTTTCTTATCACATCATTTACCATTCACCAAGAAGAGCAGATAAAACAAAGTCCCAATTAGGTTTGGAGATTCACAGGATTATTGAACGTGACATTCACAAGAATTCTTTATTTCCTAGTATCACTAATAAATACAAATAATCTAACAGCTACTAATACGAATTTCATACTCGACTACAATTACCCGTAGAGTAGAACTTACATCGAGCAGAAGACACAGGGCTAGTACGAAGATTTGATTGCCGAGGATAGAAAAATCACACGTGTATGAAGGACCTTTGTCAAAAACTAGCGGAAAAAAAGAAACTACGCACTAAAAAAAAAAAGAACTGCACTATAAATCATGCCACTGACAAAAGTAATACTCGCTAAAGAAATATGGTTGACTAACTTGTAGCAGGAATCACAATAAACACATTTTCTGCTAACAGACTGGTTTGCCCGCCCTCGAAGCACTATAAAGTCACTGTTTCAAGATGAGTCCATCACTACAGTCCCTTACACAAAGTGGAAGGACATTTGATAGGACACCTTGGAAAGGCTGGACAAGAGCACAACACGCTATCATGGAGGTCTTCATAGCTTCGCCAGACCTCCGGAGAAAGAGATGGGAGGCAGTCATAAGTTGTAGCAGTAGCCTGGAAATTCGACCAGCTAGAGAATACAACGCAAGTTCGCTGGGAATCCTCAGCAAGGGAGTCGTATTTGGTTGCTGGGCAGAGGTGGTCGTTGTTCTCGAGAAAAAATGTTGTTGGTTGCTGATTTTTCTCGGTTTCTCCTGTTCACGTTGTACAACTCACCAGCAACACCTCACTGACAGTTTTTTTTTATTCGGGGAAGAACTGAAGGATTTTTCCGAGGGAATGGTAGAGCAAAGGGGAAAATTTCGAGAGGGGGATGGAGAAGGTGGTCGTACCAGACGAGGAAATTCTGAGAGGGGGGTCGTATTTTGCAAAAATTTTCTCTAACGGCAGGGCCTGCACTGAAGTCCACTCCATTCTGGAGAACCATGGAGATAACATCATAAATAATCATGGGCCTTCGGAAAGTCTCGATGGCGTTAAAAGCTTTCGAGATCTTTCCAAAATGGTGAATCCCGTTGCAGTGGTGTACAACGATTAGAGAGGGGGGGGGGGTCAGATCTGATGGCAAGGGAGAGGGTCATTTACAAATTGCTGATATGGTCGATGATCATTGAACGGGTAAGGAAACTTCTGAAATCGAAGATTTTGAGGTTTTCATCCCATTCAGATGGTTTCAGGTGAACTTCCTTTTTAGTTTTCACCCACTCCCGTAGCTCGTATTTCCGAACGTGTTCGTTTGATCATAACATTTTTCCAAATCTCCGTGATGTTCCGTGTCTCCAGCGAATGTCGAAAAGGATCACGGGATCAGTAGTGGTAAAAAGAAGAATAAGCACCAATTAAAGCGCGACGGTTCACCGGAATGACTTATTTGGAAGACCCAAAGTCGGCTACCTTTGCAACCTTCCCATGATTTCTGCGCGAAGTTCTGGAATGTTTTCGCAGTAAAAGGTAAAAGAACCACCACCACGCCTCTCTGAGTGACTTCCGGGGAATACTAACAGGGTTCCATGACCAACATGTCTCGGTCTTGATCATGCATTCTCCTCCCGTCCTGGAACATTCACGCTTGCGCCTTACGCTGCTCAACAAATACATTACGTGGGCAATATAGAGCAATATATCGATCACTGCCGGTAGAATGGCTACGACTAGTTACTATCTGAGGATTACTAATAAAAATTGTACAAATGCAACAACACACACCTAGAGGGCAAATATAAGATTTCAAGTTGTCTTGTCACTCTCAGTCTCGCCTCTACGAGCTGCTATCCTTTCTCTTCTGCGACGTTCCGCTCTCTCGGCTTTTATTCTGCGAGTGCGATCGGCATCTTGGACAGCTCGAAACCATCTAGAGATCACATAAACAGACTACATAGAAATTTCACAAAAAATGGGCCGTTTGGCTTGGTGGGGCCCTCAACAAGCCACCTTGTGAAGTGTAGGAGGGATCACTTGTATCATTGCTCAGCTTTCCAGCAGTTTAGAGGTGTTAACCTGCTTGTTAATATGCACTAGGAAGAGGAACTGGTGAAAGTGCAATGCCCCTCCAAGCCGAAAGCACCAGAAACGAATTTTTTGGCAGAAGTACCTAAAACTAAAAAGCGCGCACTCGTGCATGCGCGACTTCGTTTCGAACGCTGGCGAATGTTTCCGCTAGAGAAACGCTCTTTTAGTTTCATACAATCAGCAAATTTCGGTGGAGCTGTTCGATAATAATCCTGATTACAATGTTTGTAATCCGATCAGAATGGAAGAGCATCCAGGAAAGGCAAAAAGTGTTGTTGCTGTGACCAGAAGCTTTCCATGAGCGTTGTCGCGTTCAATCTCGCGACGTCTATAACCTGCGATGTTGCAAACAAGCGCGACTCATACCCTAGAAAATGGGTAAAAGAAAGCAGTCGCACCTGTACTCTTCTCTGATTTCATCCGGATTCTTCCCAGCCAGACTTTCTTGTTTTCTTCTCCATGCCTCATCTACATCTCCTTTCAAAATTCGACCAAGCTCTTGCATCTTCAATAGCAGAATTTTATGTTATTTCATAGCGGACTGAATTGATAGGCACATATTTCATAAAAAAAGCAAATTTCAACAAAAAGTTCAGAATGATGATTGAATGCTGTCATACCTCCAACTGGTCCATTTCTTTATCCCTGAGCTCCGGCTGCCTCATAAACGATTTCGCTATTTCGTCCTCATCAACCAGTTGTGAAATTTTACGTTGTCGCGCTCGTACTTGCATCCTAATGAGATGTGTACGATTAACGTGTGCAGAACGAAGCACTTTCGAAACTTCAAGCCACGATGGACGTTTCACTTATACGGCACGCTGAAGGCTGTGTACACTCTACTAAGCTGCGGACGGTTGGGCGTGTCAGCCAGTATGAGTGTGTCACCCTCTTTGAGCTGTTCTCTGCCTTCTTGTTGAAACGGGCATGCGACAAAAAGCAGTAGAAAACAAGTAATACGAAAGGTATGATACAGTATTGTCATTTGCTCGCTTGAACAACTCGTGGAGAACGAGTTTGGCACCGCGCCAAACGCAGCCGCACGAACACGCCCAACCGTCCGCAATGAACTACACTAGATGTAAGTTAAAGGCAAGAGAGATTGCCGACTAAAACTAGACCCCTTCTTATCGCTGATGGGCAAGAAAACAGCTGCTTTATAGAATGTAAGCTATTGCCCTAGAACTATT